AAAAAAATAGAAAAGAATCCTGGAGCAAATTCATCTCATCTCTTAATACCTCTTCAAGCATAAGTACAGTTTGGAGAAACTTAAGGAAAATCTCTGGCAAAAGCCAACCATATAAGATTTCTTTTTTAGCGAAAAATAACAAAATAATTAGTGATAGAAAAGAAATCGTAGATTTGTTAGCAGACCAATACGAATTAAATTCCAGTGACGAAAATTACACTGATAATTTTAAAATACATAAAAACAACGTAGAAAAAAACGTATTGGGATTCGACGGACATGAGATTCACAACCTTAACGTTCCTTTTTCCTTCATAGAACTTGCTGAAGCCTCAAACTCTTCCAAAGATTCAAGCCCAGGACCAGACGGTATCCCCTTAGCATTTCTACTACATCTACCAGACAATGGAAAAAATTTATTACTAGACCTTTATAATTTTATCTGGAGTAACCAGGTTTTCCCATCAACTTGGTAGGAAGCAATAATACTACCACTTAAACCTGAGAAATCCCGGACATCACCTGAGTCATATCGACCAATATCTTTAACCAATATTAAATGTAAAGTGTTAGAGAAAATGGTAAATAAAAGGCTGAGATGGTATTTAGAACAACAAAAACTCCTTATTCCACAACAAAGCGGATTTAGGTAAAATAGATCCACTATAGATAACCTAATAGACTTAGAGTCAGGAATACATGAAGCATTTGCAAATAAGCAAGATTGTATCGCAGTTTTTTTTTTAAATAATAAAGCTTATGATACTGTCTGGCGATACAATATCATATCAAAATTGCGTAATTGGAATATCAGAGGCAATATGTTAAAATTAGTTTCCAATTTTCTTCATTCTCGCAGCTTCATAGTTCGATCAGACAATGCTAACTCAGATAAAAAAGTTCAAAAGAACGGAGTGCCACAAGGATCAGTTATAAGCTCAACCCTTTTTTTAATAGCCATAAACGACATACTTCAACAATGCTCACCGATTGTTAAAGGAAGATTATACGCTGATGACTTGGTTTTATTTGCCAAAGGAAAAAACCCTACATCTATTCAAAAACATTTACAACAAACAATTAATAATTTAAAATCATGGTCTAGGACTATTGGATTACAATTTTCACCGACAAAAACTAAGTGTATTTTATTCACACGAAAACATAACACTCTAATTCCACATCTAAAGCTATATAATCAAACCCTTAGTTTCACAAATAATATCAGATTTTTAGGTATGGTTTTCGACCAAAAGCTCTCCTGGAAAAAACATACAGAAGAACTTCAAAAATCATGCCAAGCAGGACTAAAGTTCATAAAAACTATTTCCAGAAAAAACTGGGGAGCAGATCAAAATACACTATTACATGTATATAAATCTTTCATTAGATCCAAACTCGACTATGGTGCGATAGTTTATTCATCAAGCAAAGTATCAGTATTGAAAACATTAGAAACTGTTCAAAACACAGCTTTACGAATAGCTACAGGCGCGTTTCGCACGACACTAGTTGAAAGTTTACAATGCTTAACAGGAGAACCAGCACTAAGTTTACGACGCAAATACCTTTCTCTCTTATATGCTTCTAAAATAGCCATAAAATAAACTTATACCAATACGTTCACAGATCAATTTCAAGACACTTTCTTTACAAGAAGACTAGATCCACCATTTTACGAAAGAATTAGAAGAAACCTTCATGACCTACATCTTAAATTTCCTGAAATTCTTCCAACAAATTTCCTAGCTTCTCCACCTTGGTTAATACCAATTCCCAAAATTAATACTCACGTTAGTATATATAAAACTATAACAGGCCTGATTAAACAATCATTCTTAACAGAAATGGAAACTTATAAAAATCACTATAAGATATACACTGACGCATCCAAATCTTCAGACGGTGTTGGTGCAGCCATCCTTACACCCAATACATCTTTAAAATTTAAATTCAATCCCATTACTTCGTGGTATACTGCGGAGTTGTTTGCAATATTACAAGCACTTATCCACAAAAAAGAGACGAAACAGTCCCCGTCTCTCATAATAACCGATTCACTAAGCTCACTTCACACTATAAAACGTTTATATACCAATAATCCAATTTCCTCACATATCAAATCAGAAATAGAGATTCTAAATAATAATAAGATCACTGTTGACTTCATGTTTATTCCATCACATTCAGGTATACAAGGAAATGAAGAAGCAGATGAACTAGCCCGCTTAGCATCCTTCAGCCAGGACTCCATTCTTATTAATGAGGTTTCTTCAGATGACTTTAAGTCAGAAATAAAACATAAAGTGTTAAGTGCGTGGCAATATAAGTGGAGTGCATCACAAAATAAACTAAAAGAAATCAAACAATTAGTGAAACCGTGGCTCCAACCCACAGCGAATAGACACGACCAAGTGAAAATAACACGTTTGCGACTAGGACATAGTAACTTTACACATAAACACCTCTTTACGCGAACTGTGCCGCCAATGTGTGAAACGTGTCAAGTAACACTCTCCTTGAAATATATACTAACTCAGTGCAAAAAATATAAAGCAGCACACTATACCAAATAATATGAAGGAAGCCCTAGGAAAAAATATGACCATTAAAAACACAATAAGTTACCTTAAAGACTCAGGACTATATCATTTATTGTAATTTTTTTTCTAACTGTACCTGTATTTTACATTTAAGTCACTAATAACCCTGGTGGTTACAGCGCAAATAAATAAAAAAAAATCAATATCAATTTACAAAAAATATCATATTTGTGTAAATTTTTATTGTTTATTCTAATACATCATTCAGTTAAATATGACATATTATTCAATTTAAAATTCAAAATATATTAAGTGGTATTGGCAACTCTACCCTATATACCGTAAATCGAACTTAAGTAAATCGTCTTGTTAGGTGCAGGTTTTACATATTGATTTGTTTATAGTTTTTATTACAAACCGATTGTCTACATGCGAGATACAGTTTTCTTGTTGTATGTTGTCTTTGGTAAAATTTTCGTCACACAGTGCAACTTACAACCAAAGAAATAGGCCCAGAATCATCACGAGATGGCTTATACCTGACAACTGGTTGAACAATGTGCTGACCAAGAACCTTTTTCATTAAGCTACCTTAAGATTAAAAATGGTAACTATACATATATATATATATATATATATATATATATATATATAATATATATATATATATATAAGAGTAAGAAAAAAGAAGTACTTGTGACTCGTTTGGAAAAAATATAACACTGTTTTTGATGGGTTGGAGTCAATAAAAGGGCTATTTGTTGACTATTTTTTACTCGAGCTTTCAATTGTGATTACAATTTTTATCAAGAGCTTCTAAAAAATACAAAATATCTTACAAAGTTGAACTAGAAATAAAAAAATTTTTGTTAACTCACCAAATAAAATTAGTTTTTTATATAAAACTACTGCTTACATATTAAATACAAAAAATATTAATAAAAAAATGTCTTATTCTAATAAATGTTTCTCTGAAAAATTTTGATGAAGTTTCTTAAGAAAAAATTGAATTTATAAACAAAAATAGAATAGCTACAAACCTGCCTAAATGTCATAAATACTAACTTAAAATTTTTTATTTTTGACATATTGTCAAAAATAAAATTTTGTTTAAAAAATTCTTCTTTGTTTAGTAACAAAAACGAAGAAGATTTATTCACCATTGATAGATGCACGAAAAAATGTAACAAATACATGGAAAATTCAAAATGTCATATTTTACTGACTGCATATATAAATTAAATAGAAATTATATAATTATAAATTTTGCTTGTAATAGACAAAGACCATATTAGGGATTTTGATAATATTAAAATTTTAGGTAATGAAAGTAATAAATTTAAAAGAACTTTTTTGGAAATGGTTTGTATTAGCAAAAGTGATAATAATTTAAACAAAAGGTCAGAAATTCAAAATTTAAGCAAAATTTATAATTATATAATTTCTATTTAATTTATATATGCAGTCAGTAAAATATCACATTTTGAATTTTCCATGTATTTGTTACATTTTTTCGTGCATCTATCAATGGTGAATAAATCTTCTTCGTTTTTGTTACTAAACAAAGAAGAATTTTTTAAACAAAATTTTATTTTTAACAATATGTCAAAAATAAAAAAGTTTAAGTTAGTATTTATGACATTTAGGCAGGTTTGTAGCTTTTCTATTTTTGTTTATAAATTCAGTTTTTTTCTTAAGAAATTTCATCAAAATTTTTCAGAGAAACATTTATTAGAATAAGACATTTTTTTATTAATATTTTTTGTATTTAATATGTAAGCAGTAATTTTATATAAAAAACTAATTTTATTTGGTGAGTTAACAAAAAATTTTTTATTTCTAGTTCAACTTTGTAAGATATTTTGTATTTTTTAGAAGCTCTTGATAAAAATTGTAATCACAATTGAAAGCTCGAGTAAAAAATAGTCAACAAATAGCCCCTTTTATTGACTCCAACCCATCAAAAACAGTTTTATATATATATATATATATATATATATATATATATATATATATTATATATATATATATATATATATATATATAACTTTTACAATAATGATTGTATGGACATATATAATAACTTAGTAATAGCGCTTATATTGTGTGGTTATTTTTAAGAATGCAAAATTTTAAATTTAAACAATTTAATATATGTAATTAAAAACAGTAGTAACTCTTTAAAGTGAATGTTTTTACGCCAAGGGTGAGTGATGAGAAAAAATATTGGAGCCAGATTTTAAGATTGGAATTTAAAAACAGAGCGCCCTAAAAATTTTGTAGTTTAAAAAAATACCTACTGATAGATAAATGTATTCAAAATAGTAAAATTCTATTTTACCGAACTATTACAGTATGAAATGTACATACATGTTGTAAAGTCTATTCCTAATAATTTGTAAATATTTTAATAAATTTAAGCAACTGTATAAACTTAGATTGAGAATTTATTTTTAGTTGCTGTTTAGCGTAGTTAAGTGTCTGTCTTATCCGAGTAAAAGTAGCGATGACTTACTAAGAAGACATACAGGCCATAAGTATTCCGATGAAGATGATTTAAGGCACAATTTATACTTATTACCTATTCAAATATTGCCTTCTGAAGACTACCATGGTACAGAAGAACCATTGTATGAAATACCACTACTTGGCAAATCAAACCCACTTGGTTTATATGGATTAGAGCACCTGTTGCATGAAAAATTCTTTGATAACGATAAAAGCTTCCATCCACTTTTACCTTTCGATATTGACAAATTCCTTAGCGTATTTGAACAATCCAGTCTTCCACAATTAAGGCAGTTTGTTCCGGAATTACCACCCATTCCTGAATTACCTGAAGATCCAGCTCCGGGCGGCAGATAAGACAATAATTCATGTAACTACTACCCAGTATTTACAAATTTACCTAATTGCAGTATATAATTCTTTGACCTAAAATTCAACAAAAACCACTAAATCCTGATTTAATATCCTTTTATTCTGCTGACACGGAAAAATAATGCACGGTATATACAGGCTTATGATGTTATGTATAACTCGTATGTTACTTTAAATCAGGAGTGTATAATAAATCTTAATATAAAAAATACTTTTGTTTTAATAATATAACAACAACAAAAGCAATCCCCTAGTTCATTCAACAAAACATTTTTGGATATTTATTATTTATGAGCTTTTTTTGAATTTTTTTCATTTTTTGCCTTAATTGTAAGAAAATGTAATAAAATTTTGTTTATTAATAATGAAGTGGTAAGTAAATTTGAAAGAGTCTCTACCTCAAGTAAGAGTTATACGTGAACAAAATTGCCCAAAATTCTGAAATTATCATCCTGGCGAAACTGATTAAAAAAACTGAAGATCTACATTTTGGCTTTGTGGAAAACGAGGAACTCGTTAGTGATGGAATTTTGATAGCCATGTACCTCGGTAAAGGAGATATTATAATTCCAGTAAGGGCTGCGAATTTGTCTAAAAAGCCTTTTTTATTATAAAACAACAACAAATAGAGGAAGCGTGAAAAATATTTAAAAAAGAATACAGCTCAAAGTTACCCAATTAACAATAGCCTTTTAAAACAAGTAATTAAAAATGTTGATTACTTTTTTAGTAAAGAATTAGACAAAATTAATAAATTTATTATTGAACATTGAACAGTTTAGTTCAACATAAAATATATACTTGAGATACAAAACCAATTTGTTAATCCCCACGGAGATTGTCATTTGCTAGACAAAAAAAAAATTAAAAAATATAATATAAGATTTATTCGCCAATTTCATCGAAGAAGCTTTGCTTGTATTTTTCGTATTTTTGCTTTCGACACGTATACAGGTTGCTATTACACAGCAGTATTTTATAATAAAGAAAAATAGACCATTCAAAATATTTTCTCAGAATAAAAGGTAAACCATTTTTACAACGGTAACTAATTAATCCGCCATATTCATTGATGAAAAACTAAATGTTGTTTAAGTTTACCGCGAAAATGTGTGCCGTAAATAAGTGCATCTTAGTAAACGATGATAGAATTCGCATTTTTATGAATACCTACTTATGTTGCTAAATACGACAACGAACAGTTTTCGAAAAATATTAAGTTTTGACTTCATCACTCTAGCACCATGCTGGAAATATTTACAATAAAAAATGTGTACTGAATAATATATCTTTAAAGTCAATTTTCAAATTGATAGTTAATTATAGTCCGGATAACATTATATGGGACACCTCTTGTTTTTTTAGAATATTTAACATATTAAATTACCTACCAAATAATTTTTATCCATTAAAGAGATCGGTTTATGAAAAATATTATGAGTATCCAAAATATTTGTATATGAAAAAAGTTGAATCAGTTTAATGCTTTCCGATAAACAATATTTTTTGCAGTGCGTAAATATACAACGATCACAGTTTTCCAAACTTTCAAACTTCCAACTATTAGCTTTTTAATTGGTTTAGTGTCATTGCAAAAGCCAACCGCATGATAAGTAATAAAACCAAATGATAAGTTCAGTGGAATCATCGGTATACGCGAGATTATGACATTCTCTCCTTTATATTTTTTCTTGATGATCGTTACCTCAATGAACTTATTCATGATCCTTTTCACAGTCAACCTCGTTTGATTGCACAGTAGAGGTCGATTAATGTTCTGCAGCATAACGCCAACTGATCCTACTTTATTTGTAAATTGTTAGGAGTCCAGACTATTCTAGTTAACTTAAAAGGTTTGTAGGATAGTTTTCAAAAGAAAACAACAACAAATTCAGTTGATTGACATCTGTATTTTTTGCTGCCAATACTGCTCGTCTAATTATGCTGTTTAAGACATTAAAAAAATGATTTCGCCTTAGATCGATTGGGATAAAAATTTGTATTCAAGCTCAATTCACCCACTGCTTTATAGTTTATGTCATGTCGACGAACCCTGATTGTTCTTAGGGGTGAAAACTACCCCTAATTGTCAAAAATTTTAAAATAACATTACGAATCTTAAGATGAGTGAAATTTGGTTTGGATTAGTTAAATAGTGATTTTTTTATACTTTAAAATACAATTCCATACATTTTTAACCTTTTGAAAATCACCCTTTACAACATTGAAGTTTTTTTAAACTAATTTAATAGATATAAATTAAAAAAAGTAGAATTAAATACAAACAAATTTATCAACATAAAAAGGCACCATTTATTTTCTTATACATTTACATAAATAGTTAAAAATATTTACATTTATACGTAAAACAATTAAAATATTAATTTTATTCACCATCAATTACATCTTCATCGTGATCTATGTCATCCTCATCTTCTTCAATTATTGGTGGACTATTATTGCACCCTTCACCTGAGCACCCAGAACAAATAGAGTTACAGTATAAACCAACTTTTCTGCACCCACATGAAACGCCCCATCCTTTTTTGCATTGGCAAAAAATAATTTTCAAAAGTTCATCGGGTGCAGGTTGTTTGTTCATGCGTACGGGTAATAACAAACCATCTTTGGAATACCATCCCCAATCTATTGCTCTGATATTTTCATTGACAAGCCATAGACATATGAGCATATGTTTTATTCTGTAGTATCGGATTTCAAAATAAGAACGCTTAAAATTTCGAATGTATAACGCCCCACTACCTAATATACCGGTTTTGTACGATATTATATAATCTATTTAACGATAGAGTGTTTCTTCAAAACGATTTTGTAGAGGTTTTTAAGAGCTACAAGGATCTGTGAATTAAATCTTTTTGGAACCCTTGGTTTTTAAATGGGGTGAGTTTAAAGGGCTCGAAAAAGATTGTGCTTGTTCGTAAATCGATGCTTGAAACGGCTGTATCTCGCCAAACATTTATTGTACAACAAATCTAAATAAAGGAAAATTTTAGTCATTAAAAAAGCTACAATTTAGTACATTTTTATTTTTTTCATATATTCAGTATTTTCGGGGAAATTTAAAAAAAGAAGGGTAAAAAATATGAAATTGTAAATCGTTTCTCGCTTTATGCTGTAATTTTTCTAAAACTAAGCATTTTAAATGGGTCAAACTTCTTGGACGTATTAACAATATATGTACAAAAAGAATTACAGAAGGGTGAACATAGATTTTGAATATGGTGGTGGTTATGGGGTTGTTTTCATAGATTTTTTCGTAAAAAATAAGGTATTGACCTTATTTTCATCATAACTCACTTAATTTTTGAGCTGGAGTCTTTTTTTTAGGATAGATCTATTTATGCTCTTTAAAAAAGGTTATGTGAGTTTTCTTCCAAAAATGCATCAATTTCCCGATATTTAACTTTGAATCTTTCAAAATTGGCATTTGAAGGAAACCGCTGAACATTGATAGGCCGTATTTCGGTTCCTATTATATCGCAAAAACATTTTAAAAATGGATTGTATTTGTCCTTTTTAAAGGCTAAAAATTTGTTCTCTACAAGTTTTTTGATAAAATTCATAATTTTTCGAGTTATTCGGGAAAAATCGATTAAAAACGTCTATTTTTTCGTCTAAAAGTTGTTACTTTCAATCGTGAATAACTTAAAAAATATCAGTTTTTCAAAAAAAATGTGTAGAACATTTTTTATTTATAATCATTTTTTTAATCGAAACCTGTAGTTAAAACGTAAAAGAAAAATTTCACCCCCGAGATGGGGTGGCAACCACCCCCAAGGCTTTGGCGCACTTTGGTTTAATACAGATTTTGATCCCTGGCTATTACCTACCTTCTGTTAAAATTTCAAGTCAATCCACGCAGGACGAAAAAACTGCGAGGTGAAATGTTTCATTTCCTGGACTATAAGTGGTTTGAGGGCATAATAAAATCCTAGATTTATGTGTAGCTTTAAATTTTCATGATTTCAGAATTCAGCAGCCCGCTGAAGTATTGGATTTTTTATAATATAATTATTTGACAACCTCTTGTTGATCAACCACCTACAGCAGAATTGAGCAAGAGAAGAAATACATAACATTTCGTATGTTCCGAATTTATTTCGTTCAATCTGTATATATATATATATATATATATATATATATATATATATATATATATAAATATATATGTATATTTATATATATTGTATATATATATATATATATATATATATGGACGTAGTTAAGCAGAAAACGTCCAACCCAAAAAAAGTGATTGTTGGGAAATTGAGTTTAAAAGATTTTAGTGTGCCCTAGCTAAACTATGCATAATTTATTCGCCTGGCAATGATTTTAAGATAATGATATTCATCTCGTAGGCACCTCGTTTGTAATTTCTTTTAAATGTAAGTTTCAATGAAGTTATTTTGAAAATTTTAGGTTGGACGTTTTTAACAAAAAACAAAAATCCGAAAAAAATTTCGATAAAACATACTTATGTGGGTTGGAATCTTTCAGATAAATAAATAATGTCATATTTTTATAAAAATTTTAATGATCCAAAGAAACAAAATTACAATGATTTTCTTATGTAAATGTAAATTTAAAAAAAGTTTTAATTATTGTGGGTATCTACCTCAAAATCTAGAACTGGAACATTAAATCCATCAACGTCTTCGACTACATTAGCACTTGTAAAATTTTCATAAAACGGTTTAGCGTCTGAAGGAATTAGATGTAAATAGCTTTTAATATCGTTAATTTTATCCTCTGACAGGGGTTTACCATTGGGCCAGAGTTGCATAAGCAGCGCCGAAAAGCTCTCTGTATTTAATCGTCCTCGTCGCTCAATATCCAAACATACACTTTCATCGCCAAAATAACTAGGTTTCATAAAGATGTGGTAAGGATTTTCTTTTGTTAATATAATTTGTTTTGTCTCCAACCAATTTATTTTTTCTTTATTGGTGCCAACTTTTCTGTTT